AGTGCTCAGTACTTGTGAAAAGCAGTGCACATCTTAGGGTAGGCACCCAACAGGAGTGAAACTTATTGGTCAAAGTCACTAGCCACCATCACCACTAAGATCTGAGAAAGGAACAGAGTACCAGGGTCCTGACTCTCAATAGTCTTCTCTAATGAACACCTCCATTTTGGAGCACTTACTACCTAAGCCTTTACAAGAGGGACAATTTGAGCAATAATCCACAGTTTGAAGGACTGTTTGAGGAATGAGTAAATGAGTTATATATATAAAATATGACTTGGCTAATGAGAATATTCAGAGGCAAATATAATTATCTACAGGCATCTGAAAGGCACAAGAAAAATTGTTCAGGGCAGTCCAATCACATACAGTTAAAAGCACTGGAATGAAACAGAGTGAACAGATATCTTGGCTGAAGAGCAATCATTGTTGAAGGCATGATCTCCCAAGAGACATGCAGTGCTAAGCTGGACAATATGCACTGTGGAAGGAAGCAGCTCACAGTGGTCAGGAGATGTATCTGGCTAGCTGTTTCATCCTGGCTTTTTTTTTTAATATCGAGGATGATATTGCTATAGCATTGCAGGAAAGTAAAACATACGTTCTGCCCCATACAACTAAAGTACCATTAGTCATTACCCAGCAGTCAGCACTTTCATTTTCAGTCAAGGAGTCCCCTGGAACCAATGAACTCAAATTATATTTTAAAAGCATAACAGAGAAAAGCAGAAGCATAGCCTTTGGCAGTTCTGCATTTGGAAACATTTGCATATTCTCAAATGACCTTCTGAAACTCCTAGTTGCGTCCCTTTGCGAAATCCAACATTAGATTGAAGGTCCAGCAGCAACGGGCCTCATCCTGACAAAAATCAGCCTTTCCAAAAGCCTTCACAGCAGTCAACCCACAGCCTTCCTCAGGGACTGTGTCAAGGCCTCTCACCTGGTTTAGGGATGCACCACCTCCAGATGACACACCTAATGAAAGTACAGCTCAGACAGAGCCCTCATGTAATTTCACACAAAACTGTTCTACCTTTACACAGCACCAAGGCTAGAAATGTAAAAGCTAATGAGTCAAGACATGCACAATTTGATGACCTCAGAGCAATAGCCACTTGTGTGCATTTGCACACTTTATTTATTAGTACCCAAACTGAATAATCTACCTGGGCAATGGCAATTACTATGCAGACCTTCTGGATGATATGAGGTGTCTCCAGGATAAGTGATAGCTCCTCACTCATGCAGGAGTCTGAACCTTCATGGGAAAAAAAATTAAGTTGCATCATGTTTAAGGAGATGCTTTAAAGTCTGCCCTGTGGAATGAACCACATCAGCCAGCATTGCCAGGCTGCACTGGTAATTATGTAACTTAAATTTTCTGTTAATATCACTTTTAAGCATTTGATTTCCTTAGGTTATTTTTATTTGCTTTTAAAAGCAAGGAGGAAATAAAAGGGGGGAAAGAAAGAGACAAAGAACACATCCATGCAGGATAATCTGCGGACCCTACTCAGGACCATATATATTATACATTATGTATATATATGAACAACTTACGATGAATAGCTGGGTTCACTCCTTATAGAGATAAGCAGAGAGAGGAAGCAGTGAACTCTCAATTCTCACAATTTTTGCTGCTGCTATTTTGGGGAGTGACAATTTTTGTTCCTGCCCAGATTCAGAGGAAGCAGCAATTCATCCAAAAAGGCAAAAGAATTAGGGGCGGTGGCAGCAGAAGCAGCCAGGAGACAGAAACTGAATTTGCATCATTTGGCACACTGGACTACGAGTCATGCCATCCTGCCCATGCCTTAGGTATTACCCCTGGACTTTTCAGAACTGGCACCAAAAATAGCAGTAAAGGGATACAAACTCATCAACTGCTGATAAAATCTTGGTGGATGTCCACTGAGAGTATTCCCCCCTTTTGATTTCTTAGTTCCCTCTGCCCTAAAACACGGCTCTGATCTGAGATCTCTGCTGGCAAATGAGTCTAAGAGGGGATTCCCAGCCCTTCAGGGTGGCTGGTGAGCAAACAACATTTTGCAATGCTGAGGGAAATGGATTTTTTCACCCATTCTCCAATAACTGAAAAATTCTGCAGGGATTTTCCTCAAAAACTTTCCAAAAACTTCCTATCTCCATAGAGACCAAGGACCAGATCTGATCCTGAGATTCAACTTTAGGACTGCCCATCAGGCAAAGGAGGTGTACCACTCTCATTGAGGAGCAGAGGGAGATTCTCCCGGTGGGTGGTAATTCTCTGTGAGCATAAACTCAGGCCCACTAGTTTCATGTGTTCAGCTCCTGGCCTCCACTGGCTTGAAGGCTATGACAAGTGCAATCTGGGCTCTGAGAACTCCTGCCAAGCACAACAGCCACTAAGGTTAGGGCAGATCTGTGTATAAAGTGCTTCAAATTCTGCCTTGTTAAAGTGTTGTTAACTTGTAGTGCTTCAGTAGCATATAGATGTATGACTGCCTCCTAGCTGTAATGTTAATGTGAAGTGCTTCAAAGCCATCCCTGTTTCAGCCAGGGTCATTTTTTTATATATATATATAGGTTAATCCAATTTATAGAGCTATTGCTCTCTGTCTGTCTTCACCCTAATGAGATGCTACAAACTCGTATGACTGCGGGGCTGTCTACACTCTGCAAGTGGTAGACATCTGTAACCTGGCTTTAACTGAGCTGGCGTGGGTAATGATAGCAGCACAGATATGACAGCACTGGCTGTCCAAGCCTGTCAGTGACCCTGGGTAGTGATTCAGGCTGCTAACCAGCCACGCTGCTACATCCTCACTCCCATTGACAGCTCGAGGTTAAAACTAGTTGAGGGTTGGACACAATTACTGCATTCAAAACTCTCAATTGTAGACATGAGCTATGTGGAGTGCTTTGTTATGCTTGAACCTGCACTGAAAGCTAGTTCGATGTGACATTGGTATCCCTTCCTGGGCTGTGCACAGATTGCCTGAAACTAAGAACTGGGAACCAACAGTGGAAAATTTCGGCCACAAAGAGAAGCATTCTGAATACTCAAGAAAATGGTGATATAACAAAAGCCTTGATGCCACCTTATTGTTGCAGTCACTAAGGGGTAATCAGCAGTATAATAGCAGCAACAGCTGGGACTCTAACTATGGACTATAGTCATAGTGGATACAAAAAGAGGACAAAAAGGGGGGGGGGGGAAGAAAAAAAATCTTGCTCTGCAGATGGAAGAAATGAGACACAATAGATTCAGCTACCTATGACCACTTGTAGCATTTTATTCAGCTCATAGGGCAATAAATGAATGGGTGATATTGTTTGGCACGGTTTATTCTACAGAACAGAGTTTAAAGTCCAATTCCCTAAACATAATACAACACAGTTTACATCTATGGAAATTCAGAGTCAGGCTGCTGTTGTTAAGATATATAGCATAATAAAATACTAAATATACTGGCTTCTTCCATTGCACTCACCAAATTACCAAATACATTCCAGAAACTTTGCATTATCATTCCTCAAAATAGTTTATCTACAATCTTACTCTCAAAGCATTAAAACCCAGAACTTTGCAATATACCGGGGCTAGAAAAAAATAACTTTTTTACTGGGAAGGATAAGGCCTGGGCTTGCTAAGGGTGTAAAACTCTCGTTTCTAGCCTTGGACAGTTGGGGTATATCAGACTGTACAGCTGAATATTATCCATCTGTTGTCAGACCTGAATATTGCTTTTCTGGCATCCTGTATCATTTTGAGGAGAAATTCCACATTACTCCTGGACAATATATGCTCATTATTATCTAAACGATACAATATTCAGGTCTTTGCCGATATACACGAATAAGTAATTATGTCCATATGGTTCACAGTTTTGTACAACATGGCATTACAGCATAGCATGGATAAATACATAACTCACAAATAATGCATGACTTGTGTGTCACAAGCGCACATGCTGCAGGAGGAAGAAACAGAGAAAAGGAACCCAAGAGTCTAAAAGGGTCCATGTGTGTGTCAATCCGTATGAAATTTCCCAAGTTGCGCTTTGAGTTTCAGGCTCAAAATCTTAAAACAAAAACTCAGTGGAAGTGATCACGTATTTCTCAGTATCATGACATCACCATAAAAACCTATGCATTTTGCATGATTCTTCCATCAAAACTTCAATTTGGCTTCAGTTCACTCCAGATTATCATGAACTACAACAAAAACACTGAAACAAGCAACAAGCATGGCCTATTCTGAATTTCTAACTAATCCAAGCTCAGGAGAGTTTCATGTAGTTTTTCAGTGTGAACATTTCATACCATTCTGACACTGGACTCCCCACTGCCTAAAGGAAAAATCACCTCCTCCCACTGCTGCATCTTGAAACAAGGAGCCTCCATCCACCCGATAACTTCCGCTTCCACCTTTGCAGTCATTGGACAGGCAACACTAAGCCTGTTGGTGCTGCTGCTTCGTGGACTGGAAAGATGATTGTGGAGCAATGAAGGAAACTGCATATGGCACCCCAAACACCCTGCCCATCCTCTACAGCATAGATGGTGTTAGGCTTTGTTAGGCTCCGTGAACAGCAGCAGCTGCACTGGACACAGCTTTCCAGCCTCCTTACCGAGCACCACAAGTTTCATGTATACCCACATGCCATTCAGTGCTTGGCCCAGCTGTGGCCAACTCCCAGTTCTCACCCACTTGACCTCTTACCCACTGGCCCATTTTACTTCAACCAAAAATGGATCTGAATTGCACCTTCCCAAAGAGGGAGCAAAAAAGGGCTCTGTCCAGGGCTTAGGCCAGGATTAGAAGCCCAGCTTTCAGATGATCAAGTACAGCAGTGCCCTCAGGAGATACAGCATGAACTCCAGCCACCTAGAAGACAACCATCCACACGACATGCAGCAGCACCACCACCACTAGCATCTGCTCATTGCTTTCCCTGCTCTCCCCACAGGAAGTCAGAGCGGCTGCGATACAGAAAGGCATTAAACTCTTGGCTTACCGAGACTAAACTGGTGAAACACAAAGAGCCCAAGCCAGATCCACTTCTTTGATGGGGTCCTAGCCAGCATCCCTTCAGCCTTGGGCACGCGCAGCATTCTCTTAGAGCTCCTTGGACCAGAAAAAGAAAGGAGGAAAACAGTAAGGAAACAAGTTAATAGATGTGCTACAAGCTCTCTGTGCAGCTTGAGGCACAAGACAAAGGACACATGATGACAGCAGCAAGCAGGTCTATAGCACAGGCTGGCTGTGGAAGCCCAAATATGGCTTATGCTAAAATCCCCACTATGGTGTAGAGACTGTGCTGAAGCAGAGACATAAGTGACTTTGCCCAGGGTCCTGACACTGGTCAGTGGCAGAAGTGGGAACAAAGCCCAAAGCTTCTGCTCTGAACACCAGACAAACTGCACCCGAGTCTCAGAGCACAGAGGCTCCGCTTACTACAGACCCTGAGGGTGGCGAAAAAAATAGCTTTTCCTCCCACTTTTGGTATGCCCCTGTACCACCCTGGAGCTGGCCCGGCACCAACTTTAAACCCTGGAGAAGCCTGAGAAAAACTCCCTTGTGCAAACCACAGCACTCACCATGCTGAAGAGATGCTGCATTGGCCATTGGATGGGGTCTGCTTATTGACAGGGCACAGGGGTGTAAACTTACGCCTTGTGTGCCCATCTTCCCCTCACCCCGTAACTGTCCGCCCCCTCCCCCCATTTTCCCCATCTCATTCTGTCTCCTCTTTAAAAAAAAATCAAAAAAAAAATCACAAACCATGGGAGTTTTCCTTACGCCTCTTTTGTTTCTGACCAATTTTAACACACGGCATCTTTCAGCCCCACCTCCCTACACAAACCAGAGCCCTAAGGAATACACCCGGCAGTCATTCTGGGCAGTGGACATGGCAGGGCAAGCCGAACAGAGCAGTCCAGCAAACCCACGGCAGTCCCCTGCCCACGAGCTCCACTCACTCGCATTCCATGGGCTCCTTCCTCCTTTAGTCAGGGGGTCCCTGTAGCCCTTAGCTGGCCACAACTGGCGCGCGGCAGTACTCAGTGAAGCTCATTCTCAGTCAGCATGTGACGGGAAAGATTAGCCTGTGTCGGGCAGAGTTTGGTTTTATACAGGCGCATCCTAGCCACTCCTACAACTTCCCCTTTATGTTGATTAACTATCGACATCTTTCTTAGGCTTCGGACCTGCTGCTTTTCCTCCATCCTGTTCCTGCTGCTTTTTTTCTGAGCCTTGTGAGATGGAAGATGGGTCTGGCTAGGCACAGATCTGTCAGGGCACAGATCTCTCATGGCCACAAAGGACAGGAAGCCTTGTTTCACAACAGCCTAAAAATGGACCGAAATATTATTAATGCTCACATAGCAACACTTAATTTTCAACCACGTACCCTCTGAACTCCTTCCCTTCTTCCCCCTGTGCTCAGTCCTAACCTCTTGCCTTGCTGTTCCCCTTCCTCTCTTTGTCATTCAGCTTTCCATCATGCCTCTTGCTGTCTGCTATATTTGCCTCTCATCATCTGTCCCACCCCACTTGCATGAATGCTTCCTACACTCATCTATTCATCAAGGAAGTGTCCACAGCCTCCTGTGCCCAGAATTTAGACCTATGTTTTGTATATGTTGAAAACTCATCCCGCAAGGTCCTGCTACCACACAGAAATAGATGTTCAGTGCATCACAGGCACAGATCTTACCCTTTCTGCTATGGGGCATCTACATTAAAGCCCAGTATAAATAATGAGTCACCAGATACAACTATTTTTATCCAAGTTAACACCCATAGATCAATGTGGACATCAGGCAAAGTGGATAAATATAGATTAAAAAAAAAAAAAAGATTTTCTCTATAAAGCATGAACCTCCTTAAAATTAAATTTGAAATAGTGACTACCTGTATTAGGGTTTCAATTTAATATAGACTATTGAAATACACTTAGTACAGTTAAGTAGTGTATATATGATGCCAAATTAAAAACCAGCATCAGACAGGAAGAAGCTACTGGCTAGGCACTTAGGAAAAAAAATAGCTGATGTGCTTGTGAAGAGCAGTAATCTGATTTTCAGGTGCAAAGCATGTTTCTTCACTCAGCTGTTCATCTAGTTTAGTTACCAAAACTATTCAAAGCTGCAAAACCATTAGACATGCAGGAAAATGAGATTTCTTCTGATTTATCAATAAAAATAAGGCAAGCAAGGGTGAATCTAGGCAGCTCTAAAATCTTGAAGAGCATGGTCAAGCAGAACCAGCCAGCTGAATTCACTAACTACAGTTAGTAATTACTTTGTTGTATAAATCAGTTTGTTTTAAATGCAAAATATGTTTTTGAAATATATTTTTTCTTATGGCTCTAGCACATTTACAGTACTTCATTTTAACTAAATATGTTGTACCTGAATTCAAATTTCCATCCAAGAACAGCTGACACAAATCAGGAGTAAAAAACTGATTATCTGGGAAACAAGAAATGTGTCAGTCACTGGAGAAAAAAAGGGTTAAATTCAGAATCTGAGTAAATGCATTGTAAGCTATAGAAATATTCACACATACAGAGTGCATCTCTGGTTAGTGAAAAAGATGCTAATTGGAAAGGTTATATTTAGTTAAAAATTAGCATTGAGCAGATGCAACAGAAATCAGCCTCTCACTTTTGAAAATGGAAGCCCCAGTTGAAGCACACACCCAGTGTAATAAGGTTACCGGCAAACCTATCCTAGCCGTCAAGAACCTACTCTTGCTTTCATTTTAAATTCAAGCTATTAAGCATTAGTTTTGCTTTTAACATACTAAAATTAAGCAAGAAATTCCAGTTTTTTACCTCATCATCTGCATTTGTGACTTGGGGCTCACCACTGCAGGTTGCCCAGGGGAGGTCACAACCCCTTCCAAAGAAATCAGCTGCACTTGTGCACATTTAAGCAGCCATGGATGCTTCACAGGGGCATCCACCAAAGTCTAGGGGTATATTGGAAAACATTTCTGAGCTTCTCAACTAATAGATGCAAGCAAAACAGTCAAGTTAGCATTATATCCCTGATGCTTTCATGCTATTAACAGAAAAGAAACTGCCTATTATTAGTCTTGGGGAAACAACTTGTTTTTGCCACTTTAAAACCAATTGCCGTAGAGAGCTCCGAAAAAAAATGGAGCAAATATTCTCTCTACTCATCCCTCAAGCTTCTGTCTGGCTGCTTTTATAGAAGCAGCTTAATTAACTTTATTTTTCTGCATGGTTCTCTTTGAGCAGTGCTTCATTCTTCTGAAGCGGGCAGTCAAGATGTCAGTTCACACAGACTGAGCACATCCCGGACCTACCATGCCCAGCCACAGCACATGCAAACACACTGCATTGCTCTGTCCATGCTACCAGTTAAACTGGAAGGTGCATAGCTGCATTCACATGGTGCTGCACCTGAACCAACTGATGTTCCCTCAGCAGAGGAAAAATCCTGGATAGCCAGGAATAAAAAATCATTAGGACTGCAGGGGTTATAAACATTATCCAAAGCATGCTCTTCCATATCAAGACATGCTGCCTCTGCTTCTACCTCTCCTTTTCCTCCCATGTTTGTGGTCCCTTCCTATAGCAAGCTGGTAAATCAGATTACAAGGAGCCTGCCTCTAAC